TAATCCATATACGAGTCCTTTTTCCTGCACTACCCTAATGCGGAGCATATGCTGAACATCGTCAAAGTCGATTGTTGAACTGTTAGTTGACTGTAGGTGTCCCTAAGTGGGCCGTGTGGTAGTTTCGATGAATTACTACGGCGGTCAGATCGGGATATGACAGGCTTTATTCTGAATGCCTTCCCATTAAAACTGCGGAATACTGGGAGAGACGTTAGTGGCACTCGTGGGTGCAGGCTCAGGCATCAGTCACCCGTGATCTTTATTGCACTCTCACTTCGTGCGATTTGACTCTGGCGTGGAAGCGGCTCCAGCCGCGTCTGCTATATGTGCACGGTCCCGACTCCGGTCTTCTTGACGCTGTCTTCACAGCGGGAGCTTGCTTAAATCTCTCCCTCCCGGCGGTAGATTGCTTTAGATAGTGAGACATACACTGAAGTGTTTTGAGGGTGGCCGACTCCCTGGACTTGACTTCACTCTAGCTTTCCTATACCATGCATCAGTCTGTGTCGGTCTATTAATTAATGCTGATGTCAGGCACCGTTTCAGACGCAAATAAGCAGTCAGCGTACAGAAATTCATCATCGGGCCAGCAGATTTGCAGGGATAATTAACATCGTACAGTTGGACACTGTTGACCACGAAAAAGCAAGACGTGTTCATAAGACTGTTTTTCCCGGCGATGCTGCAAGTGAGCTGATAAAGCGATGTCTGAAGACTGTGATCACAAGCGCTTTCTCCACGAACTATCCCCTAATAGGATTGTGAGGTAAAGATCGGACGGGGTTTCTACCGATATAGGCCCTTGATTAAATTAGGATAATTGCAGAGTAGAGATAAGCATCACGTTTTATTGACTTCTGTAAAGACCATCTATGCATAGGCTAGGCGCGGATGGACGGACGGAAGTGTGGATCAATAGCTGGTAAAGCTGCAGACTGGCCAGAGGAATAAAAAAAAGAGCCAGGCAATGCTACAGAGGTATGCCGGCAGGACAGTAAACAATGCTGACTTAAAGTTCGCGGACTAGAATAGCAGGCCACCGGGCAAAGTGAAGAGATGAAAAAGGATAAACAAGCAACACCCTTTTAAAGATAGGAGAACGGCTTTGGGCGAAAAAAGCTAAAAGCCGGCAGACATTTCTCTTTTTTCGCACGATGATGCGGCTGCAGGAATATAGAAAATGCCCACCTGTACTCGATCTTGGCAGTTGTTAAATTAATTATGTCTCGTTCTACGGCGTCCTTCTCATTTTCGTGGATGTAGAGGAAAGGACGTCGAATGACAACCCATCGGCGCACCCACGTTGGATGTTGGTCGTCGTAGAGGAGAAGGAGGTAGCCTTTACGGTTGACTACTGGACTGATCCGCACCTGCATATGTTGTAAATAAAAATTGCGTTCCGTTCAGGCAGGCTATACGTGAGAACAGTTCAAACTTCTATATCTACATATGATTTATTATATGGGATAACCTGTCGATTTAGGTCTGTCGAGTGTGTCACTGACCAAAACATGTATTCTTACTCGCAAACCAAATCTTTCTGAATAATTCAACGGACCCCATTGTGAAAAATGCGTGGTCCTAGTGGGGTTCGAACCCACATCATCAGAAAAGGCTATAGTAAAGCTAACATTCTACCGATTAAGCTACGAAGGCATGCCAAGAGCCGTGAGTTTAATCCCACATGGGTCGACTGGGCTTCGTATCGCAATTGGTAGAGCGTTGGTAGTACCAAAGCCTTCCGTGCTAATGTGGGTTCGAGTACCCTCCACGCGACGCATTTTTCCCAATAAGGTACGCTGAATTCATTTGTTATTGTGAGTTCTCAAACTCTTACAGGCGTTCATCGTCAGAGGTAAGAAAGAGCAACAACAAAGACATTAAT